CCTGACCTCAAAATTTATATGGAAGGCCAAGAAACCAAGAATAAAACTTAGAATATTGCAAGATTTAAAAGAAAGAGGGAGTTCAGGATTACCAAATTGGCTATTATATTACAAGTCATGTGCCGTGGTCTAGATAAAAGAAAGGATAACATTAGAAAATCAAAGATTACTGAGACTGGAGGGTCATGATCTAAAAATGAGTTGGCATGCATATGTGTGGTACGGGAAATACAAAGAACAATTGCATTTTGCAGAACATATTCTGAGGAAGGTGCTAGGTTTAGTATGGCACAAATTTCAAACACAAAACATACAAAGAAATTCCAATATGTGTAGCTCCAATAGAAGCATTTTCTTTGAAAGCACTGACTCAGAGGGGAGTGTTACTCACATACAAAGATTTATTAACTAAAGACCAGAATATAAAAGATGAACAAGATCTAGAGAAATACGGATTAGCTACAGATTGGTGGTCAATGCTGAAATTAGAATCGAGATATAAAGATGATAAAATTATGGGGTTTTTTGAGGGGAAAATACAGGTGGATGAATTATGGATCTATACTGATGAAAAAAATGTATACATATTTATTGGAATATGACTTGGAGGATGAGAGGGTGAAAGAGATGATGGTAAAATGGGCACAACATTTTGGTACAATATTGATATTGATGAATAGATAAAGATGTGGAAAGAGAATCATAAAATGATTAAGCCAGTGAAGCTTAGAGAAAATATCCTTAAAATGTTTCATAGATGGCATTTCACTCCTGTAAGGTTGGCAAAAATATCAGAAGGTAACAGCAATCTGTGTTGGAAGTGTTAAAAAAAAACCCAGGGACTTACTATCATATGTGGTAGTCATGTGAAAAAGCCAGACAATTTTGGATACAGGTTTGGAATATGGAAAAAAAAGTTCAACAAAAAATAATTTTTAAACCTGAAATATTACTATTGAATATAATGCCAGAAATTATTGATAAGAAAATAAAATATAATCCACTGTATATATTTACAGCAGCTAGAGTACTCTGGGCCCAAAAATGGAAGAATGAAGAAACACCAACAATGGAAGAACTTTTGAAGAAGCTACTGGACATTGCAGAACTAAACATGCTTTCAGAGGCACTATGAGAACAACCAAGACATTTTGTAAAGCAAAGTTGGAAGCTGATATATATTTGGGCCCAGAAAAAGACAGGGGTTTAGGGGGAAATTGAGTATATAGCGAAGTCAGTGCTCACTGGATTCCTCTTGAGGACATTTGAGGTCCAGATGACAATGAAATCTTCTGATCCATAGGGGTAGGAAGGATGGTTTAGGTTAGCAGTTTTTTTCCTGGTTGTTAGTTTTTATATTTTATCTTCTAGTCTTGTTGGTTATATGTTAGATTGTTAATGTTTCAGAGTTTGTAATAATA